AGCCAAAGAGTCTTGAGCGCAGCCTGGTGGCTGGCTGCAGTATAGGTCATAAATCCCACTGTCTCCATGTTAGTGGATGGGCCAAACTAAAGGGTAAACAGACCCATCACCCCCCCACCTCCTACCGCCAACCCTCCTTGTACATATGTCAATAATGTAAATAAACAACATGTAGCTGTGACTGTATTTCTGAATATAGATATAATATGCATGGCTCTGATCAATTACTACAGAAATGGATTTTAAATATGTCACTTGTTTTCTACTTCATGTCAACAGTAGACGTTCACTTCATTGTGAATCATTGAGTGTGTGAATTATTTTGGTGATGAAATGGGTCTTGATGCTCTGGGTCTGTACACATCACTGACAAGTGAGAGGGACAAAAATAACATGTCATTAGAAATCAATTCAATTTCAACTGTTTGTCCATAATGATCCATTAATACTTTGTCTGCAGACGCACGTAACCCATGGTGTGTCATTGCAGAAAACATATTCATAAACACTTTCATGATTAGATCAGTGAGCATGCACATACACACAGTCATACTTCTAAATACTTAGGAGCAGCTGAATGCTCTCTCATCCCGCACACAACATGGTCGCTGTCTCAGATGCAAATGATTTACCTGCTCATGGCACTGAAATCATCATAATCTGACTGAGTAGTGCCAGAGGCCTCATACATTTTCATCAGAGCCTGATGATTGAGGTTAGATGATTAAATCTCCTCATGTCTGTTTTCGAGATGCTCACACTCTTGTCTCTACTGTCATGATCTGTGCAGTGCCCTTGATAGATGGGATCATAATCATTTCAGGTGTAAAGAGTTGAATGAATTATCAAAGTAGGAACAAGAGGGAAAGGCTGGAGCATGGAAAAGAAAACAGGGGTTTTGTATAATGCAGATCAATCTTTGTTTTCCTATGTATATTCAAAGTAAGAAGAAAATACTACGATGGTTTTTATTTAGCAGAAAATGAATTGTTCTTTTAATTCCTGCAGAAAAATTGGTTATTGTTAGTACAGGAACAACCAATTTTTAATTTGATTATCGTAGAAAAAAACAAAAGTTTGCATGTCGCTAACTGAGGAGGGGGTTATACAGCAAATAAAATCAATTCTTTTTTAATGTTGTGGTGGCATGATCAGAGTATTTGTTGTACAAATTGATTGACTGAATCAATTCAATCAAGATTACTTGAAAGGGGCTTGAAGAACCTTCTTATGTGTGTAATGTGGACAGAGATTTTCTGCCAGCATTCTGAAAGCCTATAGTCGATTAATATTGACAACAAATGTCAATATTGTCTTTTAAATAGTATTTCCAGTTCTGCAAGAACCTTTCCCGTGGAGAAACTGTGCTCATACAACATTTAACACATCAATATGGAGATAATTCAGCAAAAACACCTCTCAGAGCTGCGATCTCTGTGAAAGCAGATCAGATAAAAATATTGGCAGAGAGAGACCCCACCTGGGCAGCAACCATTACTACAGCTGTCAACAATGTCAGCCAGAAAGAAATCTCTCAAACACATGTTCAAACTCATATATTATTTATTACAATTAAATATTTTTCTTATATTACAGAGGTCCATTTGAAACCATACAAATAATCTGTGCTGTGATTAATATTTCCAAGATTTCCAAAACGCCATGCAAAGAATACAAACATAAAATTCACATAAGAAGAACTAAAGTTTAGGTTTTTGTACACCTGGGAATGAAGTTAAATTCATGTCTCTCTCCTCCATCACCCTCTCTCTCTCTCTCTCTCTCTGTTTTTGGTGCAAACATTTCTTTGTGGTGATTCAAGATCAGACCAGTATCATCATCTGACAAAAATGAAAGGCATTCATAAGGTGAATAAAAACTACAGCAACTGCTCGTCCTTCTCTTCATGGAAAACGCTTGGAATATATTTATATATACGGGTTAATGGGAACAGGCACAGAGGACCAGCTAAGACATAAGTATCACACATCTTGATTAAACCTCATTAGTTTGCTGAATGATTCCTATAAGGCCATAATGCACAGATCAGTGGATCAACATATTTTTTAACTTAGTTTTAAATCATGTATTAGTGATGGTTCAGATTTAACTCTTTCAAATCAGCCAATGATATACACTGATGTGCCATCAAATTTAAGCCAGTTATTAGTATTAATATTGTGACTGAGTGCTGTACTGTAGATGGTTCCTACCACTGATCCTGGAACACCCAGTGGGATTTAAAACTGAAATGAAACCAAATATAGTTAACAAAATTCTGCTTTGTATTACTGTGCCATGGGGCTTCAATATATCCATCAAAAATAAAGATTCACTAAAATATTTTGCTCAGTGCAGAGGTCTTTGAAACACAATGATTCCCTCTGGTTTATCATGAAAAGCAGATTGAAACACCAGGGTCAGTTCGCTCAGTTTGAGCCAACTGAATTGAATTAACAAATAAGAATAAATTAACTCAAGGCGACTTTTTGGAAAGTCAGATATTAATCCATTAAATAATTAGAGGAAATTGTATTTTTATAAATTAAAACTGTAAATTCCACATGTACAGGGAGTAAAGTCCAGTCTAATTTTGCGCTCTCTGGCACCAGCCAACAACACGTTTGTTACTTAGTCTACTTAGACAAGTGCAAAGCAGAGTTAAAGACTGAAACGTCTCAAATACTCCTGTATTATAAATCACCTCAGTGTCGTGCTAACACCATCCACTGAGCTCGCCAAAAAGTCTCTTTATCATTTTGGCAAAAACTGGACTATTTGGAACATGAGCCTCCAGATGGACAAATAAGAGCTGGATTATTTAGAACGGAGTTGAGGATTTTCTTTGGACGTTTTGATGGCAAACTGAGGAAAATGAACTGATACAAATCAAACTACAACCACAGATTTTGTTATTTGAGAAAGATAAAATGACATAGTCTACTTAAAGGAAATATTTGACATCTCTGGAAAAAAATGTCTTCTTGTAGAGAATTAGATGAAAAGATCAAGACCACCCTTTATCTCTAAAACAGTTTTCACACCAGCACTGAACTCCAGACATTTCCTTACATTTTCAGAGGGGCTCTACGTGAGAACGCAAACGTCCGAGTCAATTGCTTCAGACATTTTATTGCACTTTATGTGAGAAAGTCCGCAGACAATTCAGAGGCTCTCCCTCGGACGTTTACATTCACACAAGATGTGAAGACAGGAAGCAGGGTGATATGACGGCACACTTTGATTTTTCCAGATAAGAAGATAATACAAGTTAATTTGTGAGGTCTGTAGGTGCTGGTTGGTGGTTTTAGTTTCTTTGTCTGTCAGAACCACGCCTCTGTTTTCTACTGCTGAGCTAATGCTAAGCTAGGGTGCTAGCTATAGCTCCATGCTTATTGTAAACATACAAGTGGCATCAATCCTTCATACTCTGCAAGAATTCAAAATTTTTCAAGATGTCAAACTTTTCTTTAACAACCATTTTGTCCTCAAGTGAGATTAAATAAAACATATGCACACATTTTTTAGAGTTCAGTTTTACGTTTCTGATCAGATGTAGAAACGGACCTGAGATGCCTTTCAAGCATCGAGGAATCAAGATCAGCACACTAACAAGTTTCATAACCCCAAGCTGAGATTGGTACACACTTCTAAATGAAAGGCTGGGAATGTTCTATAAGGCAGCAAGATCGAGGGCACAGGCTAATGGCAGGGTACGTTTTAAATCAACGTAGCATTCAGCAATTTAAAGGTGAGGAGGCAAAGCTTCGTCATCGGAGGAGACGTGAAAAGGAGAATATGACAGGAAGCTGGGAGGGGGCCAACATAAACGTTTTTGGTCCTGCACAGGGTTTAAGCATCTGGTCACATGTTAACAGGTGTCCTTCAAACTGTATCCTTCCAGATCCCCCAGATGTGTCCTCGAATCTGCATGGAGGACTTTAAACATCTCAACACAACAATTCACAGGCTTCTATTGGGAGAGCAACCAGTCACAGGAACACTACTGCGAACGACATACACGCTTTTCATCTTAGACAGTGCAGCTAATGACGAGAGACGACTTTTACCTGCTCTCTAATCAGGAACGAAAGCCACTCATCTAAAACTCTATTCTTTAAAATTATCTTCTGAAAATAATTTATATTTTCTCAGTACAGAAATAAATACATATCTTCTCTCAAACATAGGAATGAAACATCATCACAGATCTAAACGCTACACTGAATTCATTACTCAGCATCTCATCGGTGAAGAAACGAGAATATAGGTGACTAACTGTTGCCATCTGCCAGGAACAAGCGCTCTTCCAAACGTATAAATGCAAATATTCAGTTCGCTGACACCAGAGTCAAATCACACCTCCGGCGAACAGCTTTGAGAAAGTAAAATATTCCTCAGCATTGACATAACACAAATCTTCACACTGCGAGACCAAACAAACTCAACTGTGCTTTCTTTCTAGAATGCACATCACAACTCACCACTGGTGGATTTCAGAGCTACAGATATGTCATAGAACCCATAATTATCTTAGAGACTCACAACAGATGTCACCAAACTGCTTCCACTTTTCATTTGTCGCTATGCACAAAACTGATCAGAGAGTACATTGAACTGAATCTCCTTTCTTTGCAGCTTTGTGCAGAGTTCACTACATAGACCTATAAGTCAATCACACTCACACAGAAATGGAAATGTTATATAAAAGAATATTTTAAACTGTGGGAAATATGCTTAGCTACTTTCTCATAGAGATTTACGTCTGTATGGTAAATATGTAGCGTGAGCAAACAGCTAGTTATCTTATCTTAGCATAAAGACTGGAAATAGGGGAACAACTAGCCCGGCTCTTTTCAAAAAGAGACTGAAGATAAAGATGCACGACATGACCGCTTCACAAAAGTGAAGCCAAAATGTCTTGCCTCCTCCATGTAATTGGACCAAAATAAAAGTAAAAGTAAACGTCAAATAAAATTCTCAAAGATTATTTTAGGTGGTTCTTATCACACTGACTTTTAATCAAGTGTTAATTTTCCGGTAGGTTTGGTTTTATATTACATTTGGTACGATAAAAACAGGATGAAACAAGGACTTAAAGCTGACACTGTGATTGGTCCAGTGCATCGATGGGACCTTGCTACTGTGGCTTCATCCCCCAATCCCTACTGCAGAGTCTGGCTCCAAATGCCCAAGATGGCAGCTTGGAGATATTTTGGATTCATTTCTGGAAAGTGGGAGGAGACATGTTGTCCATCTTTACATACAATCTAGAGATTCCACCTGTTTCCAGTATTTATGCTGAGTTTTGCTAAATGGCTCCTGGCAGTAGCTTTATATTCACTGACCTCAGATTGGATCTACTTAAAGAACTTCTGGCAAGAACGTGAATCAACACATTTACCAAACGTTGAAGACACACTTTGCACATTTCTCTTAAACCTTAGTCTACAGTGAGGAAAGTGAATATTCTACTGATGAGCATGATCTTTATCTATGACGTATGACTGATACTTTGTGTGTCTGATATCTGCAGGCAGATGGTAACATGGTTCACATGTAACATCAACTTCTCCTTATATATATCAAGTGTCACATTTCTAAGAGCTACAGTAGCATTTTCTACAGCAGAGTACATTCCAGGGTTTTCACACAGCTGCTACAACACCAGAGAGCCATGTATGACGAAGCCCAATTACACTGCCATAACGACTCTTCTACAACACTGTATGTCAGACCATGACTCTCACTAAATAAACATGTGTCATGTCGAGTATGAATTTCAAATAAAAATAAGCTTGTGTCTCCTTCATCCTAAATGTCTGGTTCCTCTCTCACAGAGGCAGCAGGTAGTTTTGTAGTCAAACAAAGTTGTAGAGGATGAAACCAGAGAAACATTAGCTCACATCCCACAGTCATGTCATACGTCACATGCTACTGCAGGTTCTTGAGCAGGCGACCGTAGCGGAAGTCGTAGACGTGTCGGCTGAAGAACACCAGCTCTTGGTTGATGTCATCGGGCACACAGTGGTGGGTGGGCATGGCGTTGCCAGCAATGGGTGGCACCACGAGGGAGGTGGCACTGTCGTGTACACCTTCCCTACGGCGTTTTACCAAGGCACAAAATCTGGACAAGGCACAGATCACAAGACATCAAGTTCAATCAGTTTCCCAAAGAAATTCAGTCAAACAATAAAACAATAAGAGCAAAAATGCTTTCTTTCTTACCGACAATACTGTGCCAATGTTAGGACATAGCATTTGTCTTCAATACAGGCCACACTGTTCACATCCTGGTGACGAGACGCAAAGATCTCATTCTGCAGGAAAAAGAGTTGTTTTATTCATTAGCTCAAAACAAGCCGTACACATAACCCTCGATTGAGTTGGAGCACAAACATCTGTCTCTGTTGTACACAAACACTCCTGTCTAACCTTGACTTCAACGTGTACAGACAGATTCATAAAAGAAAGATGTTTCACTTCTCCATCTCTGAGCCAGAGCCGTGTAACTGTCCTCACACGGCTGCTCTGAAGTGACGGCTGTGTGCAGCCACTGCAGCTGGGAAATGACAGACTTTATGTGGGTCATTGTTTCCGGAGATGAATAAAAGACCAATTTGTTCCTTTTGGGAGATTACTGACGACAGGAAGTGAGCACAACAGAAGCTGTGCATTTGTGTCTGCCTGTGTTTGTTGCACTGTCATCCCTTTGGATAATATTTGCAGTGACTGTAAAAATGTAAAAAGTCTTTTCTTGAATCCTGATTTGTTCATTTTGACGGCAAAGAGGCAACAAAACCCTAAAATGATATTTAAATGTGTTGCACAGAAAAACTTATATTCTATCAAATGATTGTAACACACCAGACAAATGGTCAAGATCAATGTGGAAAACACCAGTGACTACGTTTTCATGGACAACAATATTCTGACTACTGTCCTTATTCTGATTAAGACATTATTTTCATTATGATGTTTACATGAGCTGCTAATTGCATGTTTAAATATCCCCATTACGTCCAATATTATTCTGCCAGTTTTTAAATAGTTTCATGTATAATGCTACCTATATAATTTTGTGTTTTTTCTCTAATCTTGCAAAAGCTACAACTCTTTATTTTTCTGTCTTGTTCACACGAAGGTCAAGTGTCCTCAAGCAGTTGGTAAATGATGTATGTTCATGTCACACAATGCGATTAAGACGGATACATGTCTACATAATGTAACTAAGGGCAGAATACCCCACATGTCGATTATTACTTATTCCGATTATAACATTATTCAGATTAAGGTAAACTGAAAAATGCCGTTTACATAGCAGTGTCTTATTCAGACTATTGATTTAATTGGGTTAATATTGGTATATTGGACTCCATGTAAACATAGTCATTCAGTCTATTATGTTCTTACATTGGAATTAATACCTTAAACTGTGTGAATATTCTTTGATTTTCTTGTTAAAACTTGTGAGGAACTCTGGAAAAGTCAGAAATCCCCAAGTCCCAACTCCATTTGTTCTCATTTAATAGTGTGTCTAAGACACATTGTTCAATTTTAAATAAAGGTTAAGTGATCTAATAAGGTGAGGTTTCACTGTAGTTTTCATCAAATGTTACTCAATAAAGAAACCCGACGAGCCAGATGGTTTGTTACACAGAACAATCTGGGAAGGCTTTATTGGAAACTGGTCTTGGCAGGTGATTGGATGAGCCATCTGTCCATCACCATCAATCATGGTTCCTGACGCCAGTGAGGAGAAGCAGGAAAACACCTTTTCCATTTAGAGAAGCCTTTAGTGCTTTATCTGCTTTTCTTTCACACTGACAATGGTTGGTTCAAACCACCAGTGAATAGCGTGGAGCCTTGTAAAATGGATTCTCCAAGAGAGAAATCCAGCTGCCTCGCAAGGTTATGAAAAAGTACAAATTGGGCACATTTAGGGGAAGATTTTCCGCTGCAGATTCATACATATTTGCTGCTCTAGTAAGTATTTACCTCAGCAGGAACTACTCTACGACACATGCAGACAGGTGGAGAGCATAGGCACAGATGCATGCGCTTGCTTTTATGCATATGTCAATCGAGGTAGAAGCAAACACACATGTTCGACGTGGGCAAACTAGAAACCATGACGGCTACCTTCTGACATTTCAAGCTCCTTTGTTTTATATATTTCAACTATTATTTATATATTTTAACAGAACACATGGCGATAATATACCTCTTAAGAAAGAGGTAAAAGAGATGTATTATAATCAGTGGTGGTCTGTGAAGCCATCCAATGTGGGTGGGAGAATTTTTTTCACTGATACATTTCTTCCTTGTGTCCTATGTCATCCTGGTTGAGATATTGTCATCACCGATTTCTGGTGGTGTTCCCTTTCATCTGTGAAGTCTGTATCAATAAGCTTTCAGCTGACGTTCACAAATATGGATGAAATAAATGCAGAGTACGGATCGAGGATTCAATTTCCATACAAGCATTTAATGTTGAGCATAAATAAGCCTTAAGAGGTTGTGCAAGAAAACTCTAGCGCACTGATTTACATACAATTTGCACACTTGATTGAAGCTACAGGATGTTAACAAGCGACTGCTGAAACGAAACCATTTTTGACCCTGAAGCCATGGTTTGAAAGGATTTGTTCCTCACCTCACAATGCAAGCTGGGGTTGCGTCCCCCCTGCGTGTGTTCTGGACGGTAGTACCAAAACAAACTCATCATCAGCTCCCCTGAGGAGAAGAAACACACAGATCACATCAGTGCTGAACGCAGTTATTACTGCTTTACTTCAGCTCCTCTTGTGGTGTAAATAAACACTGTGTAGAGTGGGTGTCTTACCTGACTCTGGCTCTTCCCACAATGCTGAGATCTTGGCCACGTAAGGCAGAGACTTCTTCTTGGGCCCAGATTTCAGCAGAACAGTGTCTCTGACCCGAATCAGATCCCCGTCCCTCTGGATGCCCTCAAAACACTTCCTCAGCACAAGAGCCTCCTCTCCCTGGGAACACAGGCAGCAGGAAATACTGACTCTTCCAGCAGCTACACACTGATAAGCTGCAAGAGCCTGTGGACTAAAATGCTGCAGGATGCAATTTGTACTGAATGATTCTATGTCTTGACAGAAATGTGGAGGATGAAGCACAGAAAACCGTGAATGAGCCTGATGCATGTGTGATAAATCATCCTGAAGTCTCTTTGGAAAAGTTAAATTACACCAGATTTAATCACAAATGGCACCATCATGGCTGCATCAAAAAGCACCAGCGGGACGTTCTCTACATACCACAGAGAAAACCTCCCTCTGAAAGGGCAGGCCAACTGCCCGCCAGCCGTTGGTGGTTTTTTGGCGGCCGTTCTTCGGGTGCTTGGCAACCGACCGCTCTTTGACACTGGGAGAGCCGGGCTTCTGTTTCTTGTCCCTGTTGAGAGGGCAGACAGCTGAGCCGATGGTGCCGTTGCCGCGCACGCCAGACCTCGACCCACTAGGCGGCTTGGCACTCTGCGGACACTCCTTCGCCACCTGCAGCGGTGGCTGCGGTTGGCTGGGGTCGGAGAGCGGAGTCTGAACGTGGGGCACTGATTGGCCGGCTGGAGGCACAGTGGGAATGGGGCAGCCAGTGAGGATTCTGGGGCTGGGGGAGATGGGGATGGAGGAGGGGCTGTGATGGTCGTTGAGGTTTGATGAGTAGTCGTCTGAGGAAGGAACAGAGATAATGAAGCAGAGTGACAGAGTGAAACATGTGCACACGGAGCAGACACTGATCAACAACCTTTAACAAGGTTTTATAATAGAGACATGGACTGCACTCAGTTGTTATTAGTTCCGCTGAAGCAGCAGAAAAAACAAACAGAGGCTCAATTAAGGTCAATTACAGCCTTTAACAGAGGACACACACACACACACACACACACACACACACACACACACACACACACACACACACACACACAGGTCATCATCATAAAACTGTGCACACTCCCATGATACAGCTGTGGTGATGACTTTAAGGTAAATTAATGGTCAATTTATTCCAGCTATTATTTGCTCCATGGAGGAAACATTAACATTAGTCAATGTTTGGCATTAGGCTTCTTAGTTTTCACTTACACATAGAATATGTTTTCAAACCCACTCTTTGACTGTTAAATAACTTCTCCTTATAAAACGTTTTCTATCCTCACCAATAAAGCTACGATAATCATGTTTATCTAAGAAAAAATAGGGCACCTGCATGAAATGTCAGACCTCGTGGCCTGACCATGTGGGAGCTATGGACTTAATAACTATCATTAGAAAGCACAAATTACTGTCAAGTGAGAATTATTGACCCAGTCAAAAGCAGATAACTGCACATGATACGACTAATTAAAAATTATCATCAGCTTCTTGGAAAACGTGCACTCACTGTCTTCCCTCCACCTTCCCAGGGTGAGAACTAAACAGATCACCTAATGTATTTGCCATCTGTAGCAATAACCAGCGACAGATTGAGTTGAAGTATTTATTTAGCCCACAAAACTTTTCATAAAGTTGTGAAATACACCAACAAGCACAGAATTAAATGGATCAGATTAGTATCAGTATCAAACTGCTGCTTATTGAGGCGTCATAGTGCAGTCATTTTAACACCTTAAACCTGATTTATTGACCAGCTGGGGGCAGCAAAAACATGACATTATATTTACTCATGTGGCAGAAGCTTGATTTATCCAAAGTAACTTACTGGAGAACAATATTTACACACGAGGACGGTGTCTTGTTCAAGGAAACTTCAACACACTCTAGATGAGCCTGCTAGTCACTAACGTTGCTTCACACAGGTAACCTTCGATGGCTGGATAAACCTCTGCTAGGGTTGAAGTTGGGTGGAGCCTTGTTGGAATTAACACCAGGTCCTTAAAGTCCATGAACTAATAAGATATAATATGTCTGATGATAACAGGTGCCACAAGGCGAGACGTAGGTGTCAATGAAACCTGATTTGTAAACACACGTCGTGAGAAGAGTTCTGATGTGGGTAAAGCTTTTTTACAGCAGATATTCTGACATAGCAAAGATATTTATAACATTAATAATGGCTGTTCTTGCTACAGGAAAGATATTCATCTGTTTTTGACACCTGTGCTTTGCTTTGTCTAATGTGACATGTCAAACTGTCTTCAGTGAAAAAAATGGGTTTGAAAAAGGGATTTCCTGTGAGACAAGAGTCTCAACTCTCACCGGCTGACCTGGATATATATCTGCTGGAGACCACAGAGAGAGACAAAGAGCGAGAGAGACAGAGTGAGAGACAGACAGACAGAGATACACATGGGAGAGACAGAGAGACAGGTGAAGAGAAGGAGAGACTGGGAGAGGTGGAGACAGAGAGATGGGGAGGAACACACGCACACACACACTTCCTGTCCCGCTTCATATATCTGACTGTACATTCAGCTCATTAGTGTTTTCACTGCTCAGGCTTCATGTTCACTGTCCAGTGACTTGTTTTTCGAACTGAGACAAAATAGGTCTCACCCTATTTCTTGTTACTTCACACTCAAGTGACATTTCAAAAAAAGGAAAAGAGAAATAAAAATGATTCTCTCCACATTGAGCTGCGTAGGCGGCCACATTAAAGGGGACAGTGTGTAGAATATAATCTTAGAACCATAATGAGTATTTTACTCTTATTATGAAAACCTGCTGTCTTTCTTTAAGCCACCTCTGAATGAACAGATAAACTTCAGTTGGCTCATCATGGGGAGAACTAATCCACCTGTGAGTCTAAGCCTGATGATGTCATTGAATTGGGTTATATAAATTCAGACTTACTACCATTTATTTTGAAAAAAAAATATATCATTGTTATAAACTGAGGGTATATAGTTTGGGAGATGACCCGCTATGACAAGGCTTTTGTCAAACTGCTCTTTCAGAAATTAATGTAATTTCCTGTTTTACATTATATCTGAGATACTTGAAGAGAATGTCAGTGTTGTTGCATTAAACACACCAGGATAGATACCTGTGTATTAAATCAACTACTCTGCTGGAAACAAACAAAAAGAAAAACCTCGTCAAATGAACCCCCTGTCCACTCACCTCTCTTGATGCCACGGTTACAGTTTGTGCAGTCTGTGGGGCCAAAGGAGCACCCCCCTCTGGTGATGGCTGGAATCACGCTGGTATACGCGGAGTAGCTGTTGATCCTGCAGGGCTCTCCGTAGCACGCTTCCACAGAGGTGCAGCAGTACAACGGATGGCTGATACCTGAGGGCTGCGGACCTGTGCTGGGGAGTAATTTGGGTCTCTTGCCACTCCTTGGGCATAAAGTGAGGGGTGACACAGGTGAGGGGGAAGGGTCCGGGTGGCTGAAGTGGACGTAGTAGCCAGGGAAACAGGTGTAAGTGTGCGGGCTGATGGTTATAGCTGCTGGGTGGGTGACAGAATGAGGAGGCTGCAGATGGTGATGGTGGTGATGATGGTGGTGGTGATGGTGGTGGAACACGTCGGCCAGTGAGCCGTCCTCGGGTTCCTTGAAGGTCTTGTCCTCCAGGAAGAGGGCCAGTCTGTGACAGTACTCGACACACCTCTCCTGGGAGCAACAGTAGCAGGAGGACACCTTGGTCTCCACCTGCTCCTCTTTGATTGTTTTTAAGGAGAATCCCAGTGCGGAGCCACAATGGAGAGCATGTCTGAGACACTCCTGCCCCCCTGTGGCGTCTTTCCACTCGGGATCCAAAGCTTCTGTCTTACATAAACTGCAGCATCCCTGGATCTTGGGGCCCAGCTGGGAATGGACCGGATCCTCTGTACCCTGTTGTCTGTGCTTTAGTTGCTCCTCGTGTTCGGGATGCATTGTTCTTTTGGTCTGCGTTGTCCCTTTACACAACGGTTTACCGCTAACCTCATCCTGAGTCGTAGCTGCTGCGGCTTCACCGCCACTCCCTGGCTTGGCCTCTGACTTCTTCTGCCGTTTGGTTCCATAAGGGGCACTAGTGAGTTTGAGCAGAGTTGCAGCGGTGAGGCCTGCTTGACGCCGAGGGGTTGGCGTGAGCAAGCTCAGCCAGTCTATGTTAAGCGCTTCCAACGATGACCGCTTCTGTTTTTTAGGTTTTTCTTTTAGTGTTGCTTTCCCTTCTGATGAAACCTTTTTGGTTTTATGGTCTCTGTGTTCAGTTTTAGTGAGACTATCTGTAGCTGGATCTTCAGTAGGAGCCTGCTTTTTCTTTATGACATTTGACGTTGCAGGGTTGTCTCTGTAGAGCAGCAGGCTGTTGACAGCCTCGGCATTGAGAGAGGCCATCCTCCGCCTGCGGGGCTCAAGGACAGATGTGGGCAACATGAGTAAGGCGTCCGATTGGTTGATTTTTGGTTCCAGTGCATGTTGATTGGATGTGGATGTTTTCTTTAGTCCAGATTTGGTCCTTCTTTGAATGGAGCTGGAGTGCAGCTTCTTCATGCCTTTATCGCTCTTTTGTTTCCCAGATTTAGGTGCGTACTTTTCTTTACCCATAACTGCTTTCTCCTCCAGACGGGTGAGCAGGACGCAACAGTCTAGTGTGTCTCCATCGCCAACAACCAGCGTCTTCCTCCTATTCCGATGTGACTCTTTCTTATCGTTCTTTTTCTTCCCTTTGAGCTCATTCTTTCTCTCTTTCCCCTTCTTCACACCACCTCCCTTTTCCTTGCGTCCCTTCTCCTTCTGGAGCTGCCTGCATTTCAATGACTGGCTCCGCTGAGCTTTCACCATGGTCTCGGCGTCCGCGAGCAGATACACCACCTTCTCCTCTTCATCCACAGGGTCCTGCGATGGTGTGTTTCAGCTCAGAAAGGGCCTTGACTGAACATCATTATGGATCATCAGATGAGTCCATACACTCTCTGGGGAGGGAGACACAGATCAGACATTGAACCACACAGACTTCACTCTTGTACAATCTGAGAGTGACTTAATGTAACAGACAGGATCTTCTGATGCATTATTAAACAACCGGTTTTACTTAGTTTGCTGTCAATTTCCATGTCCCCGGAGAATACGACCACTTAGACAACCCTTCTACTTAACATGCAAATACAAAGCAGACACAGGAAGCAGGAGAAACTGTGATAAAGAACACATTATAGTTAGTTATGTTTAAGACTATAGGACCACATGCACTCCAGCTTCTTTCCCATTTTTCATGACTGTCTTAGATCCTGAAATATTATTTGTGCTGTAGCTTCTGCATGCTTTGATTTAGGATTGCAACAAAAAATAAAAAAACCCTACAGATTTATCATCCTTTGTATCAATAAAGACAATTGTCAGCGCCTTGAACCCATGGAGAAGCCTTTTACTGACTCATACAATCCACCACGAGCCAAACATTACAACCCACTCACAGCCGAAACACACAGGCAACGAACAAGAACGGGCATTCAGGTCATTTTATAATGCCTGATATGATGGATTCTTTCAGAATAGATTTGAATCTCAAATTCACGATGCCATAACAGTTTCAATTTTACTACAGAGCTTTGCAAAGAGAAGGCAATTAGACTAAACATGAAAAGAATGTGAAGACCGTTTGACCTCAAGGGAGAAAATACTTTGTCTTCACAAAGTATTCAGACAGTATTGCTATGTAGTATTTTATAAAAAACACATGATAGTCATTCAAAAATAATAAACACTTATGACCAAATGGAAACCCGCCCCGACGTCCTTGGATCTTTTTTAGTCTTGACTTACTCCTTAAACTCCATAAACTCCTAATCAACATGTTTACAGATTTCAGATACTTCCACATTGGCTTCACTTTCTGGACCCGGAGTCTACGTCCATTTTTTATATACAGTCAATTCTCTAGCCCAATTAAAAATGTGTGGCAGTGAGTTTTCCTGCAGTCTGCCTGTATTTTTTCAGTTTCACCTTATTTTGCTGTGTTCGGGACATTTTTGAGCTGCAACCTTTGGGCAGTGGGCGTGAAGTTCCCAGCTAATAATAGTGCATAGGGGTGTGACTCTCGTTATGTTATGGGGCAGTTATTGTTGCAAAACTATTGACAAATGTGTGTCTCAATCTGTCTGTGTGTAATCAGATTTGTGAATGTGTAGAATAAGAGTCAATGTACATTCTGAATACATATATGCATCTGTTTAATGTACACACAGTGCCTCGGTCTCTATTTCCTCTGCTTTCTGCCATGGATGTATAAAGATGTTTGACTGAGGGCAGGGCTCAGCTACACACGCATGCACGCATGCACGCACGCACACACACACACAAACACACACACACACACACACACACACACACACACGGACAGGTAGAAGTGTACACTTTGGATGAATTCACACAAAATCCTGCACCTTCCTATAGGGTGTACGTTTCTCTGATTCACTGCTTTCTACTTGCTAATGCTGCTCCCTCTCTTCAGCCGGGTAGAAGGTATAATTGATTAATGGTGTCTTTAAAAGCCGTCCTGCAGGGTATACCTTTCATTTTAGATATATAAAGTCATCTTTTTTGTCCCATTAATCTACAATAAATTTTATTTTACACTTTTTTTTTTTTTTTCAATTTCAGCAAATGTATTAAAAGCCAAAAACAGACAATTCTCATTTATAACAGTATTCAGACCTTTTGCTTGTGGCAACTGGGGTCAGGTGCAACCTGCTCCACCTGCGACAAACTGAATTAATTAGACAGAGTTTAGGAAGGCACACACCTGTGCATAGACATTTCCATAATTCACAGTGTACGTCAGCAAAAACGAAGCCATGAAGAAAAAAGAAACTCTCAGTAGACCTCAGTGATAAAATGGTGGTGAGGCTTAGATCAGGGCAAAGGCATAAGGAGAGGTCCTTAGAGAAAACCTGCTCCAACATCCACACGACACAATGCTTCAACTTTCTGCACGACAACAACCTGAAGCATACAGTCCAGACTGAGGGACATGTCAATGGCCTCAGTCATACCAGCTACTGAAATAAGTGTTGGAATATTGAATACTTTGGTTCTGTCAATTAAAAATTTAAGTTTTAGATTGTTTTCGAGTGTAGATCAGAGACTGAATATAGACTGAATAGAATAGAGAATAGAGACTGAGATGGATGATGCATCTCCACCTACTCGAACTATCCAGAAATGAAACCATGATATCTTGAGTACAAAGGCTACCATCTTGTACATTTGGAGACAGACTCTGCAGTGATCGGGGGAGGGAGCCGTGGTAAGAAGCTCCCACTGATACACGAGATCGAGCAATCCTGAGTCAGTCTCAGCTGTCAATCATGTCCTTTCACCCTGGCAAAATAACATGTAAACAAACATCCCTGAGATTAGAACTAGTTAATATCACAGACACAATTTATTTGATGTGTACATTGACTTTTTAGTTTGGTCAATGTCCACTCCACTAACATGGATGAGACAGGATTTATGACATACACTGCAGTCAAGACAATTTGGCTTTGAGGGAGCAGTCAGGTCATCCATATTCATATACAGTCTATGGTGTACATGGAATATGTTCGTTTTATGGATTTTTAAATACATTTTCAACACAAAATGAGCAAAAAACATGACGAGGTCTGAAGCTTGTGCGATTGTGTTTGTCTAAGAGGTCAAAAGGCAGCAAACACGTCTATGTCATCGTGAGGTGTCAAATTAAGGAATAATTCTCCTCCAAAAACAAGGATGATGAACTGACTTGTAATCTGATCTGGGGTTCACCATAACAAGAGTCAGAAACACGTCACCATGTCAACAAGCTGGTACAGAGTGAATCAAAACATCTACAGCAGCTACACTGTAAGAGAAGCAAATAAGATTAAACGTCTGTACTTCACATGTGTCCATTTCTCTGCCCTCTCAACACAGAAAACACACCTCACTGAGAGAAAAACCTTTAAAGGAACTGATGAATCAACTGCCTGTGACCTTTATGCAATGACACTCCTGCGTGCAGCATGAAAAGATGGATCATCATCCTTTTCGCTGCAGCTCGACTGAAACACAATTACGCCACTTGACCTCCAAGAAATAAGTGAACACGAGCCATTTTTATGTATTAAGTGACTCTTCACACAAAAACCCTGGTGGTTTCACAAGAAAATTAGTTGGTTCCACTTCCAATAATGACTGATTCAAAATATACAAGATCTATAAGGGAATTAATTTCTTTAACACACCGCTTACATGTATATTTCTATGTGCTCAGGTTTGTATGATAATACCTCTTTGTCCGTTTTCAAGGGAACAACTTCTTTAAGCATCTCTCTCTTTTTACTACAAAAAATGTGCTCCACTTTAAGTCTATGAAATAATCCATACTCTGCCTTCACACTGTTGTAGGAAATATTACGATATAATGCAAGATTCATTTAGTGTGTTATTTACAATATTGATTTAGCTGCAGATTGTTGCCTTTTGCTTTAAAATGTCAAAAGATAGTGCAAATGCTTCTCTCAATTTCTTAGAGCCTATAAGCTCACAGGTTTAAATGTCTTGTTTAGTCCATTTTAAGGTCAAGTCATTCAGTTATTGACCGTTTCAATGGATCATGTACACAGTATACATATAAGACAGGAGGAATGTGTTTATTTTGAGGGAAATGCATCACCACACATATAAAATGTAAAAAAATGGGCATAGTCTGGAATAGTATTTTGATCCATGTTAGTCCTGATAGTGAGAAACATATAGTGATATATATTTCACATCATGGCAAAAGCGAAAGCAACAAAGCTACTACTGAGTGTAGCAGACTGGAGTTGATTGTGACATGTGGCACCTCCATCCAACCAACCATCCACCCACCCAACCATACATATATCCATCAACCCATCCATCCACCCACCCAACCATCAACCATACATCCATCCAGGGCATTTATCCTGTGAGCGCTGTGGGAGGGACAGGGCCAATCACATCTGACTTTGGCTGAGACAAACCCGCACATGCAAAAAACATACAATACAAACACACAGAGAGGCCACAGCAGGCCATCAGGTTCAAACCAAGAACCTTAACGCCTGCTCCTATATACAGTACCTAATGCAAATGATGTTCTTGCCTTTACTGTTTCTTTTTATACATCACGTCACGTCATGTGTAAATGTCATCCTTATTTATCAGTGAGCCACTTTTAGCTGCGACTGGGCTTTAGGTGATAAAGAGGAGCAGTAAAGGGGATTGTATGCACGTGTGTAGATGTGTGTGTTCGTACTCATTTTTGATGCATCTTTAGGACTTTTTCCAACACAAACACTGACCTTGTCAAGACCAGCAGACCTCATGCGGACCAAAACTTGGGCCTAATGAGGTGTGCATAAGTGTGTGTAAAATCTTTTTACACTCTATCATAAGTTGTCTCTATCCCCACAGTGTGATACTGTTAACAGTCGTAAAAACTTTATTCTAAATGAGTCAAAGAGACAATGATGAATAGTTATTACTCAATAAAACACACAAATTCTACTATAACATTTAGCACAGTTAAATAACAGATTCACAATAACAGCTACGACAACCTGTTATGATGTAACATTTAATGAGGGGCTGTAAAACCAAAACTTACTGTGGTTTTTCTTACAGTGCTTCAATTACAAGGAGCAAACAAGGCCCATGTTACATTTTCTGTCTTTCAGTGACAATAATCTTATCTGCCTAAAGTAAAATGACTGTGAAGCTTGTCCAGGATGTTCCTAAAAACCTGAATATAATTCTGTGTCTCTATTGAAGCATTTTAATGCGCTCTTAAAACAACTCAGAACACAGCGAGAGTTGAATGGAACTAAAAATACAAACGCAGCTCGACTCAGGAGTGGACGCAACGATCTGACTGGACATTTTCAAACCATCTCAGTCTGCCCTTACTGCCGAATGACTCTGTGAA